GCACTTTTTAGGGGGCGGCAAAATTTCACAATAAATAATAATAATATCTTGTAAAAATTTGAAACATCCTAATCTATACTTGCATCGCGCCTACGATAGTGCTATCGTCCGGACAGTCCGGGAATCGGCTCGCCGTCCGGGTGAACAGGTAATTTCATCCGAGGATATCCTGAGCAACCTGTTGACTTTTTTTTTTTTTTTTGCTTGTACGATTTATTCGCGTTCATATACACTACTAATATCCAATTGAACTATTTTAAACAGGTCGCTGCACTACCACCGAATTTTTCATTGCTTGTTCTGTGACAAAACTGAATTTTGGTTTTTTAAATCGAAATACCTAAATAAGGGGGGCGAAATTTTCCTCCGCCCCGGGCGGCTGACATCCACGGTACGCCACTGCCGATAAGTATTGTCGTTTATTCTAATATCTAAATATAAGCCATCTCAGAACCTCCTCTTTGGCAGATCACTCTTGAATTGTGTTGCCTTATCCTATCAAACCAAAGTACTACACTAAACCATATTCCAATCCCACTAAGATGAGTTACAATTTCTAGTACCTTAACCTATAAAATATTTCTTTAGTAGATAAAAAAAGTAAATCAGAAACAGAACGAAACACTTCAAATATTTGTCTTTTATAAAGCTTCTGGAGTGAAGCAGCGATGGATTGTCCACACTCAATCAGTAAGTAACCAAATGAATAATGCTGAACGTCGTACAAAAAGATTTGGGACCTCTAATAAATTTTTCCTCTCCGCTATTACGCACTTTTTTCTACAGAAAACCTTTACATCTCCTTACAGACCCTCAGAGTTCCGCGGAATATAATTTGAAAAACATTATACTAAGTCATAACGAGAAAGTAGAGTCATAAGTGGCCATTAAAGCACCTTTAATATTTTACCTTTCATGGACACTATTATCCGTCCGACATTTTTATGAGACTAACGATTCTAACAAAAATGGACAAATTTAAAGAAAAAAAAATTAGTGTATAATCTTACCTTTGAGAGAGAAAACATATGCAACTTCAAAAGACTATAATTTATTTTTTCCCCCAGAAATCCATAAAAACAGTTTTACAATAATTCATCTCTGGGTATCTTTTGACATAACTGATTTAGTATTTTCAGATATTAAATTCTAGAATTTTCTGTTACAAATATATAATTGAACAACAGATCTATTGGAATTTGCAAAATTTTTCCATAAATCAAACTCTGAAAGAAACTAATAATTCTGTATAATTGTCTCCTTATTTAATATTATAAGCGTTACTTAAATGATATTTTCGAAGTAACATATTGATCAGTCGACATGGAAAATCGAAAATCAAATTCTCGATCAATTAACATTTTAGTCTCATCATTTAAAGATCAGCCCGTTAGTCAGGTGAGAACCCGCGACCAGTGTCTTATTTAAATTACGACATATTGCAATGAAATTATAGAAATTAAGAAGGAAAGTGAACAGTTTCAAAGTTAAATATATATTAAAAATAATTATAAGCGAGTAGTCGAATATTAAACATATTACTTAACTCCGTTTAGTTTTTAGTAGATTATATGTTCCACTCATCGACAAAAAAAAAAAAAAAATAGAGGGAACATTGGTTATAATACCATTGCGCCTAGAAAGAATAGTTGCTATGATAAACCTCGGACTAGCAGAATGACAGGGAGGTTAAGATGCCAATCTCCCACTTTGGGGAACTAAGAACAAATCAGGGATAGCTTAATCTTTGCACATTTAGCAAACAATGTCAGTCGAAAAATCTCAATGGTCTTTAAATCGACTAACATTGTTCGCTAAATATGCAGAGAGCTATCGGAAGTTTCTTGCCAATTGGCGACAACTCAGGTTTGGCTATAACTTTCGCTGTCTAATTCTCCAAAAACGAAATATAACGTTCAGTATTCTGCACTGTTTATTATTCTTAGCAAAATTAAGGAAATCGTTCGAGGATATGTGTTACATAATTTTGGGGTGGGTTTGTTGCGATAGCGTTATGAAGAATTACTGGGAATGGAATGATAGTTGAAAAGTATAAAAACAGCGTTACGTAATTTATGGGTGATCCGTTAAGCTTTTAAATTAGTCTCGATTTTCATCTATCTATCTCCGTTCTCGAGATTAAAGAAAGACAGAGACGGACGGACGACAGAGGGAATTTATAAGTCTATAATTTTTTCAAATTACAACCCAAAAATTACTCTAGTAAACGAGTGGAAAAACCGCCGAACACCGGTAGTCGGTCGTGGGTTTGCTCATGGCCACACGTGGAGTTTTCTGGGTTTCCTTCGCGTGAGTAACATTTAAATTGAAACCAGCTTTACATAAACGTCTTTTCAGGATGCATTCTCTTCGGCAGATAGCTCATGTGTCGCGTTGCCGTAATCAAATAAACCAAACTAATTCTAACGAACGATAAGTAATGGCTCGTTAGAATTGGTTTGGTTTATTTGGTTTGCAACTTTTCGTCACAATGGTCTTAATTCTTTTAGTGGTCGTATTGCCCCTGTACATCATACTTTTCCTATTAGCAATAGTCATGTCGGTCATCTGGTTAGCAACTTCGATCACATGCGGGGCCACCACAACCTGTCTAACACGGATCACTTTTCAAATATTAATAGTAGACTGGTATTAAGTATTAATAGTAGTCATTGACCGTCCTCTCTTCCAGGAAGGGGTCAACGACTATTTTTGGTCAAATTACTTCAACTCCCTTCCGCAACAATTCCTTCTTCCTATCGGACCAAGAGGTATGGTGGCATTCGAATAGGAAAATAACATAATACGAAGTTACCGGCGAGCACAAAATATGTTTTAACCGATAAGCAGTGCGTACCATAGTGGGGGCGGAAAAATTATCTTTTAGGGGGCGGCAAAATTTCACAATAAATAATAATAATATCTTGTAAAAATTTGAAACATCCTAATCTATACTTGCATCGCGCCTACGATAGTGCTATCGTCCGGACAGTCCGGGAATCGGCTCGCCGTCCGGGTGAACAGGTAATTTCATCCGAGGATATCCTGAGCAACCTGTTGACTTTTTTTTTTTTTTTTTTNTCAATACATTCAGTTTAAGGTTACGTTAAAAATTATATATATTATAACTTAGAAAAATTTTTAAAAGATAAATTAAATTTGTTACAGGTATGAAAATATAGTATAAAAATGTGGATGAGTTGTTAACTAGTTTACAAAATATTACAATTGATAAATATAAGAATTTAATATCACTGGACATTGTTAATATGTACCCGAGTATTACAATAGACGATATAGAAAATTCATTAATGAGAATAAATACATCAAATTGGATAATTAAATTATGTTTAATTGTAATAAAAAACAATTACTTTCAGTTTGGAAATAATTTCTATACCCAGAAGGAGGAAATACCTATGGGTACTTGCAGAGGTCCAAAACTGGCAGAAATAGCAATGATACAAATAGATGAAGAAATTAGAAATATAGAAGGAATAGAATTTTATAGTAGGTATGTTGATGATTGTATTATAATATTTGATAAAAGAAAGACAGATGAAAAAACAATTATAAATAAAGCTAATGAAATAAAAGAAAATATTAAATTTGAATTAGAAAAAGAAAAACAAAACAGTATTAATTATTTAGATATAACAATTATAAGAAAAGAAGATAAATTGATTTATAAAAAATATGTAAAACCTATGCAGATTCCAAAAACAATTAATTATAAATCAATTATACCGATTAATATGAAATATAATATATTTAAATTGTATATCAATAAAATAAGACAACGAACAACTGAGATAGAAACACAGGAAAAAGAAGTAAATGATATTATCAAAATGTTTATTTTAAATGATTATCCGAAAACATTGTTAAATAAATGGGTTAAAAATATAGAAAACAATAAGCAATCAAAAAAATTAATAGATAAAGAGAAAAAATTT